TTACCATAAAACATGAGGGTTTTATTTGTCCCTTTCAAAGGTCATAGGAGCAAATTTCTACGTTTTGGTAAATATTTAATTTTAGATGACCCATAAATTATTATTAATCATATGAGTTTTGGGTTTATTTATTTCGGATAGTTAATGAAAAATCTTCTTTCAAATTATACTAGTATGCTACAGGCCTACAACAATCTTTTCAGATGCTTATGTTGTCGATGTTAGAGCGGATCGTGGTCTTATTGGTTCATGCATATGCTCTGAATTCAAAATGTCTTTCACTCAGATATATCAGGAGTGCTGCTAATTCTAAAATTAATTGAGTATGTCATACTACCAAATTATTTATTGAATGATTAATTTATTCTAATATAAAATGATATATTTAATTGTGAAATAAACAGTCAATATGGTGAAAGCCATTGAGGCTCTACTGTCCTTCCTATATGTGTAAGTCCTTTGCTTCTTATATGGGTGGACGATAGAGTTTATTTTTCCTCTTTTTATGGAATATTATTATATATAATTATTACAAATATTTATTTATATCCAATCTTAGACATAGTCTTATAACACCATTTAAACACACAAAAAAAAAAAAAAAAAAAAAAAAAAAAAAAAATAACTGTCAATTTTTTCAATTTATAGCCATATTTTAGTTTATTTGTGTGTGCAAAATATCTATATTGCCCTTTGTACTATGGATTTGAGAGAAAATTTAGATCTGCCAACTGTAGATTTTGATATTAATATTAATTGCCAAAAAAATCAAATCAGATTCATTACCTCTCGCTGGTGCTTTCTCGGTGTTTGAGCAAGAGGAGCTCCCATGAAGCTCAGTCTCAAGTAGAACTATATTCTTCATCTCTGATCTACAATTTTCAATATTTCACTTTCGATTTCTTATTCTAAAATCGTGCTTCTATTCAATTTTTTTTCGGATTGTTCGGACTTTGAATGAACCTCGGTCATATGCTCTTAGCTTTACTCCTCATCTTCGAGCTTCGATTTTCAAATTTTTTGCTTCGAATTCTTGTTATGAAATCTTTCTTATACTTAGATCGTTGGTTTTCTTTTTGGATGTTGGTTTGTTTTGTTCTTTCTTCATCCTTTCTATGGTGACATGCATTAAAAATAGTAACATGACAGCCATTAATCAACGTGATAGTAAACTTGCAGTGTTATTACCATATATTGGAACATTACATCTATTAATCATGTAATAGTAAACTACTAGTATTATTACCTTAGATTGGAACATTACAGCTATTAATTAACATTTCAGTAAATAGCAGTGTTAATACCATAGACTCGGACATTACAAACATTAATTAACGTGACAATAAATAGCAGTGTTATTACCCTATATTGAAACATTACAACCTTTAATCAATGTGACAGTAAATTGAAGTGTTAATACCCTATATAGAACATTATTGCCATTAATCAAAATGACAATAAATAGCAGTGTTAATACCCTGGACTGGAACATTACATCTATTAATCAACATGACAGTAAACTAGCAATGTTATTACCCAAGACTGGAACATTACAACCATTAATCAATGTGATAGTAAATAGCAGTGTTAATGCCATAGGCTGGAACATTATTACATCCATTAATCAACTTGACAGTAAACTAGCAGTATTATATCCTAGATTGGAACATTACAGCCATTAATCAACGTGACAGTAAATGTGTGGTTTTTAAATGTCTTACCTTTGAATCATTTTCTACTTGAAATTCTTCATTTTTTTGTGTTGAATGGTTGCTTTTCTTTATTTTCGTGATTTTGTAAATGGTCGTTAGTGATAGGTGTGGTGGTGTTCTTTGAAAAAAAATAATAATAAAGCGACTATGGTTTTCGAGACGTTTTCCTTGTAATGAATTGTCTGGGTTTTTTATTATAAAATGGGCTGGGCTTGTTTTGGGTGTTTTTTGAGTTTTTTTGTGTTGGGATTTTTTCAGTGGCAGTTATGTAATTTATAGAAACTTAAACACCAATTTCTTATGTAATAAATGGATTTTAGGTGTGTTTTTAAAGTGCATTCCATATGAAGTTTTTTAAAAAAAGAATAAAATTTCAGCCCTTATTTTGAGTATATTAATAAAGACCCCTATAAATATCCACTATTATAACACATATACAAGATGTATCACATGACTGTACTACAATAATATTTTATAATCTCTCCAAAAAAAAAAAAAAAAAAAAAAAAAAAAAAAAAAAAAAAAAAAAAAAAAAAAAAAAAAAAAAAAAAAAAAAAAAAAAAAAAAAAAAAAAAAAAAAAAAAAAAAAAAAAAAAAAAAAAAAAAAAAAAAAAAAAAAAAAAAAAAAAAAAAAAAAAAAAAAAAAAAAAAAAAAAAAAAAAAAAAAAAAAAAAAAAAAAAAAAAAAAAAAAAAAAAAAAAAAAAAAAAAAAAAAAAAAAAAAAAAAAAAAAAAAAAAAAAAAAAAAAAAAAAAAAAAAAAAAAAAAAAAAAAAAAAAAAAAAAAAAAAAAAAAAAAAAAAAAAAAAAAAAAAAAAAAAAAAAAAAAAAAAAAAAAAAAAAAAAAAAAAAAAAAAAAAAAAAAAAAAAAAAAAAAAATGCTCAAGAAAAAAAAACATTCGACTTACTTTGGATTGGGCGTCTTAATAAGAGAAAAAAAAATGCAGGATTCTTGTGATGCAGACCACACTTTGATGAAATTGGGGGATGCTATGAGCTTTATAAAGAGAATTCTCAATTCTACTTAATTAAGGAATTCCAACTCTATTTAATTAAGGAATTCCAAAACCCAATTGAATTAAAAGAACTTTTAATTAAACCCAATTAAGTAAGGAAATAGAAGCATTTTCAAAAGCCCACACAAAAGCCCATGTCAGTTTCCCTTTTTTCTTTATTTTTTTAATTTCAAAAACCTGGTCCAAAACGACGTCGTTTTGGCCAGGTTTTTCAAAAAAAAAAAAAAAAAAAAAGGCAGCGCATATTAAATAGCTGGTCCCAAAAACGACGTCGTTTTGGCCAAGCTTCGTTAAAAAAAAAGGAAGGCCCTCGCGGGGCGCGCTGCGCGCAGCACCAGCAGCTCCCCAAACCAGTGGTTTGCGCATTCATCGAGCACATTGTGTGCATCGCTGGTCTAAAGCAGATGTGCAACTCCAGCGTCTGTAATGGATATTCCGGCGACCCGAGATGTAGGCGTACCTCCTTGCGCCTGCACAGATCCGCCACTGGACGAGTGGTTGAGGAAAGGAAGAGAGAGAAGTAAAGGTGTCCTTTTATTTCTATTATTAATGCTAGTGCCTAGTGGGTTGATAGAAGGGTAAAATCGGCAAATTCACGAGGGTGCTCATCATGATGATTGGTTCGTCTCCATTACTTGCTGGAAGTCCATGCCTTCAGGCCATGGAAACATCCAACATAATTAGTCCCACATGACGATGATCGATGCACGCATGCATGGCCCATGATGGAGATGGAATTTTAAAAGCATCTCAACAACGTCGATGCATTGCATACCAATGGGATACAAAATGTAAAGTCTCCAAAATGCGTGAGTAGCATGAACCACCGGATATATATGGAGGGAGGAGAACTAAAGATTGCAATACAAGCAACTGGTTCTTGGAGAAATTACTCATTAATGCCTACGTAAAAATATGTTGCGGTGGGGAAGTTTTTTTAGAGAAAAAAAAAACCGTATTTACATATACAGTGGCAGTTCAAAAATGGTTGCTTAAGACGTAGAATTTTTGCATATGTTCTCTTGTATATATGTTTCAATTGATATTGTGGGGTTTTTTTATTCCAGCAGCCTGACTAATGGGCTTGGGCTGCCGAAAAGAGACATATGTGAAATTACCTCATGTGCCTGAGTTCAAGAATCAAGCCCCAAGAATGCTTCGAAAGGATAGTGAAGCATTAGGAAGCATCCTGATTATCTTCACCAACAAAAACAACAACTGCTTACAGGTAGATTCTTAGCTTGGCATGAGAGGCTTGTGGCATGGGAGCAAAACCATCATGAGTTTAGCATAAATAGAGAGAGAGCTGTGAGTTCTTATGAAAGACAGGGGTTCTAAGGAAAGGAGGAATGGATTCTAAAGGGTTTATTGAAGAGGGAGAGAGATGGTTCACGTATAAAGAAGAAGCTAGAAAGGATATTGTGAACGATGATGTCACAAACTGTTGATGCTCAAAAATGGGTCTACATTTTTGGGCTCAACTTAGTGATGTTTGGACCTTTGGAATACTCTGGGCCTAAATAGAGCCATCGATCTGGCCGAAGGCTCTCTGATGCTTAAGTAAGTATATAGTGAATAATAATTTGGACAGAGTAATGGCTAAATATGCCGAAAGTTCTAGTTACCTCCATTTTGGAGCTTGTGCCACTTTATAAGTCTTGGAAGGTATGTATGTTGTGTAGGATTTCGATGTGGGACTGTATACATTTATTGTGGGTGGTCCACGTGTCCAATGGATGCTCTGGGGTCTAATATTGCGTTCGGCAGACATGGGTGCCAAATGCTGTCTTACCAAATTCCCTACTTAGTCCACGTGTCATGTCCTTATTGGTCTGTCCATTGTGGCATAAAACACAAACAGAAATTTCAGATCGATCCAACGCAACTCATTATAGATTTATGTAATTAAATTAAAAAGCATGCAAACCTTGCAATATAACCTCAAGTTGTTTACGACATACAAGATTTATTTCAAGTTGATGTTTTCTTCTTTATGGAAGCTGTTTACGGCATAATCATGAAATGGAATCTTGGTCTTGGTAGAAGATTTTCAATAACCATCTGAAATTAATTAACCCAAAATCATATGATTAATAGCAATTTTTTGGTCATCTATAAATTAAATATTTACCCCAAAAAACACAAGTATGATACAAGCACTCAAACTCCAACAAGATCATTTTAGACATAAGTACGATACAAGCACTCAAAAAACATAAGTAAAAAAAAAACTGGATGTCCATGACCAGCCCGCTGTAGAAGTTGCGAGGGAGATCAAGGGTCTACGTTTAACTTCCACAACTGTTCGGATTTGGAGACTACCAATAGCAACTTCTTGGCTGAGAGAGCAAAGCCTTCTACTTTTGTACGACTTCTCACATTTTCGTTGCTGATAGGAAGTTCGTCAATCCCAGTTTTGTTGGGCGATGCCCACTTCAGAAGCTCTTCTCCATAAACATCACCTCTCTCAAGTTTCTTGGTGGCCATTGATGGGGATGGGGCAACACCAGAATCTTTGTTGTTTCTTCATCACGTGTAAGGCTCAAACTGTAGGTCAATACAGTGCCCTTCTATAATGAGAAGCATGCGATCAATTGGGTCCCCCATTCTAAATATGATGTGATCTGGTGCGTACGTCACTGGCGTCAGACAGTCGCACATCATTTTCAGCACCCGGTCATTCATGAATTTAAGGAGTTCACCTGTATTTAAAACTGATCGATGTTTAAACACAAAGAAAGATTCATTCATCTATATAAAGTTTAACAATACAAATTAATTCCTTGTAAATTGGACTAATGTCCTGGTCTTTGTTTGGTAAATCTACCAATGTTGGATCTGAATTGATTCAATCGGATAACAATCTAACATAATATTTTTGAAGTCTCATCTAAGGAGGTGAGACTTATAAAAACTGTCTTGATCTCAATCTAATCCAAACCGAACTATCAAATGAGGCATATGAATGATGGAAGGCCAATGCAACTCTTTTCTTTTTTAATAAATAATATAAATCAAATAATAATCCAATACATTGTATCTTACAAGTCCCATATAAGGAGGTGGGACTTATAAAGCAACTAATGCAAGCCAAGGAACTAATGTACTTCTTGGGCAGTCAAATTTTTCTTTTTAATAAATAATATACATAAAAATACTTGAGAGAGAGAGAGAGATACCTTTTCTAGAATTTTGAAGCAGAGAAAATGCTTTAGAACCTTTTTGGTATACCAAGGAAGAACATTGAATAGATTCTCCAGATTAGCATCTTTGCCCTCTTCGAATTTTTGATTTACGTTTTCATGATTTCCTTCTTCATATCATCAGGAATGCAATATTTGTCCATCCGCTGCTCTATTAATTTTATATTCCACTTTAATTCATCTGATTTTGTGGTTCTCATATGAATATATGTCTGAAAGTACATTCACCACAAATAGTAAATTAGAAGTGTATTTGAATTATTCGAAAAGTACATCTTTTAGGTATTCATTCAAATATCATCTCTGCAAAAAATACTTAAATCCGAAAATCAATTGACTAATCAATTAATGATTTTCATTTTAATGTTTTCATTGAAGCATTGTGTTCGTCTATTTTTTTGGTTAATAATAGATGCCTTAATGGTTTTAATTTGTCTAATTTTTTTGCAATAATGATCTATGAATGACGGTTTCAAAAAATAGACAGTTTGGATAGTTGAAATAAAATTTGTAATGGACCCCACAACGTTACCACAAATAAAATTATTTGAGGAAACCTTCAATAGAAAGGGATATTATATATAAGATAGAGGTTGGCCCCTGAAGATGAAGGAAATAATTTAAAGTAAACTAAATAAATATCTAACATAGAGATTCATGACCAACCTGAACATTTCCAATGAGACATACAGATAGGAGCACGCCAGTGATAGAAATTAGAATTGCAAACAAGTTTTCCCACACATAATTACTTGTTGTGAGATTCGTGCCAAAGTTGCTGCAAAAAGTAAGTAAAAGATCAAGCAAAATGTGAGATACGCTAATAAATGGCAGGATAAAGCAACACATATTTGATTTTCTAACTTTCCATCTTCTACTGCTTCTATTAAGCTTTTGTATGATCAGAGAAATTCAAAAATATATTTCTTTGATTAGTAGGGAATACGAAATAAAATGCTGAAATTTTCAAATAAATATGTGCAAACCTTAGATTTTTAGGCCCCACCAGAAAGAGTAGCATAACTTGGTTGGAAAATGCCCCATTACCAAGCTTAGGGAATCCAGAAATATTCCATAATCAAACGGCGGCTTAGTATTATCTGGAACATCTATGCCGCAAAATTCATTAAAAAATGTGAGGTTTTTGTAGAAGTATTGTGACCATCATCACAATAAAAGGTACTCATGCATCCTTCATGATCTTTATACTTTTCACAAGCCCAATACCAACATGAGGTCTCTCGTTGAATGGAAAAGAAGTACCAAAAGGCTCCAAGGACCTAAAAGACAACAACATATTTATTAATTGATAGATCTAATCATTAATGATTCATATGATACTTAATTGAGAGAGAAATTTCATTGTCTCCTATAATAATTCTACTTGATCACTAGTAACTTTCCAATCACGGGGCTATTTTAAATGAAACCAAACTTCATGAAGCATTTATTGATTACCAAAATAATATGTATTAAATGAATGATATGGAAAGTGAAACTTACATGGCTGGCAAGAATGTATAGAAACAAATTAAATAGGGCTTTGACCTGTATTCCAGCAGTCCCTTTAAGTTTCTTTGATGTTAAGATAATGAGATAAATTCTTGGAAAATACTGGCTGAGAAGAAAAAAAGTTGACAACCATTCTGCGTTCTAAAAATCTCCGCCCTCTCATTTGGTAAAAAACCTTTACTACTAGAACCTGGACAAAATAATGAATAGAAAAATGGGTTAGAAGTCCATATTAATTAAAGCTAGATAAACCTAGCTCATAATTTATTTACACCAAAAATTTGAATTTCTTTTATATTTATATTACCTGTGGCGTGGGAAAAACAGAGAGAAGGTCAATCAGCAAAGACCCCCACGGCAACGTCGTCGCTAATATCGCAGCAAATGGAACTATCTCATCTTTTCTTATTGGCGTCGTTTGCCAATCCAATTCCCACTGCGATTTTGCTCTGTTGATCTCCTTGTAGGCCTTATTACTATCTTCATAGATTTGATATCCAATATGCACCAAGAAAGTGATATCCGTGAGAGATCGCAAAATCAGAGCCACATTCCTCAACTTTTTGTCTATTCCAAGGCATTTCTTTTCCTCATCAATGAAGGGAATGTATAAGAACAGGGATCTAGGGAAATTGCAATAACACATGAAATCATAATCATCTTGTTCCGCAATTTGTTCCACAATGAAGCTGAAAGAAGTTTCCCAATTTTGTTGAATACCGCGGAACGTAGTGTCCGCCAACTGTAAAGTTCATCTGGTCTATTGCCGATTAAAAGAAAAAGGCAATCAGAAAATTAAGACAAGTAAAAGGACTTTACAATGTGATATATAGAATTAGAGAAAACTAACTTGAAGATAGTGGTCTCATCGTCTTCATAGCTCTGGAAAGACATAACTTAATTCTTCTTATATGGTGGATTGGATAGTTTAAACTACTACAGATCCCTCTGTTTACTGGATTCTTTTCTCCTTATTTTTCTTACAATTTTTTTTCTCTTTTGGGTGAATAAAACTTCATCTGATGAAGAGAGAGAGATTACAAGAGAAGAAAATTTTCTAGAAATAAGGATGATCTGTAAGGAGAGAGGGTTCTTTTGCTAGTAAAAAAAAAGCTGTGGGCAATTTCGTGAAGTTTACAAAGAGCGGCAATGACTTCTGTTTTCCTTTCGTTGACTGACCAACACTTTGTTTTCTAACCAAAAATAAAAGAAGAAAAAATGGACTGATTAATTACTGACAAGACATCTTTTGGCAACTTTTTCTTTTTTCTAAAAAAAGCTATTAATGGAATAACAGAACGGGTGTGTTGGAATTGAAGTTATTCATAGAAGAATATAAAAAAGGGGGGGAAAGAAGAACATATTATTAAAAATAGAATGGCTGAATTTTGTTAGGGAGATTGAAATTGTCTGGTAGATAGATGGTGTTATTTGGTTAGAGACGGAACTGAAAAAACAAAACAAAAAACAAAGGGATGGTTTGGCTCACCTGTGTAGTAGAAGGAAGAAGAGTAGAAAAAAATTCTAGTGGAATTGCTTTTTCTTCTTCTTTTTTCAAGGGTAACAGTGTTAAGTTTATGTTAATTTGGAGGGATACATGTCAAAAGAATCAAGTAGGGGAACATAGGGTATATGGGTTTTAGGGACAACAGATACGACTCATATGTATTTTCATTCCGTATTTTACGGTGTTTACAACTCGAAGCTTGCTTCATCCGAAAACGCCTATTTCCCATTAGAAAGAAGAAAAAAAAACCTCTCCATAAAGAAACTATGCATATAAACGTTGTCAATGGCGAACTTGGCTAAGGGGGATTGTTGGAGTTGGAAAGGGCCACAAAAATACAAGTGGGCCCGTTCGGTAACATTTTAAGGGGTTGTTTTCATTTTCAAAGAACAAAAACGAGGCAAAAACACATTCGGTGGCTCAAAAACATAAAACATTGATAATGTTTCATAAAATGAAAACAAGTTCATGTGTACTCGTAGAAAACAGAAAAAGTTGTTTTCATTCTCATGAGAAACGTTTTCATAAAAATAACTCATATATTATTATTTCAAATTGGACTACCAGACATGTTTTCATGTGTTTTTGTTTTCTGAAGATGTTTTCTAATTAATTTAATAGACGCATTTTCATTTCCTGAAAATGCAAATTTGTTTTCTTATTTTCATTATCTGAAAATATTCTAAGAAAACATTCTCTGAAAACGTTATTGAACGGGCCCTTAAAATTTAATTAAAGTAGGAAAAAGAAAATTCAGTTAAGAATAATAAAATAGAAAAAAAAACTTTCGAAAATTTGACCAAAAAAGAGACACGTGTCAGTTTGTGGTTGAGCCACATTACTAGGCAAGGAGGGAAGCATTATCCTTTAAAAAATGAAAACCAAGAAAAGAAGAAAGAATGAGCCTTGGATGATTGACTACTACCAAGTGGGCTTATTGAGTGTTGATGTGAGATAAATGTTTCATTAAGAGGAATACTAATTGCGGTCTCCCTTTTACATTTTTAATACTTCATATACCATTATAACATTAAAAAAAGATTCTTCAGGTCTACGCAGGATTGTTTATGTAAGAAATACTTCTCTTCATAAGTGTTTCAATAAAACTATATCTAGAATTAATAGTACAGTAAATAAAACTAAAACCTAAAACCTATTTGAGTAGGCTTTTTTTTTGTGTCCATATTTGTTTATATATCATCTCCCCATTTTTCTCACCACTATCTTCCAATCCCCCTTATTTTCCCTCATTATTTCCCCATAATTTGTTGTCAAGTGTTACCAAATTGCACACAAATTGATCTTAATGGCTTAAACCATGGTGCATGGCCCAAAGTTACATGTATGTTTCCAAAAAGCTTTCCTGCGTAAGTGGAGAAAAACACTAAAAATACTTGCCACACACAACCTCGTGCATCACGGCAGCCATATCTCCATCCATAGAATCTTTGTTCACAATTGATCTTGACTGGACCAATTAGTGCTGGAGACAGAATTGATTTATGCTTATCTTAAAGTTGATGATATTTCACAATTGATCTGTAGTCCTTTTGTGTTTATAGTGTGGGGTTAAATAATCCTCCATTGGTACAAATTTGTCCATTGCAATAATGTTGTATGGCTCGTCTCTAACTTGTTGCACGTCCATGGAACATCCAAGATAATCTAATCCCACCTAAACTCCAATTATTGGATGTCGATACATTATGCGTGGTCCAATTCTTTCGCAACCTTTTCAGATTAATCATGATCATGAAGCACTAAGCTACGCACTAACTAAAGCTTATAACTGTGAGCATGATTTGTCCTTCTCATTTGACATATGATAGGCCTCAAAATTCAATTTTAATTCATGAACATAAAGCTTGATATAAATATTTTTTGCCAGTTAACACACTCGATAATATGAGACTATATGAAAATATTTAGTTGTTAAAATTGGGGACAAAGTGGCCTGGCTTGACTAAGACTTTCTTAATATACAGCTTTTTCCGATTAGTGATAAAGATTCTCGAGTCACAATAATTGACCCAACTATATAAAGAATGCATGCATTGACATGACGTCTACGGATAGATGAGCGCCCACGTGGCTGTTCTAAACATGTTGCTATCGAACATGTACTCCGACGTCATCGCGTGAAGTCACTTTAGTGTCGTCATCCACCGGATCCTACGTGGCCCCGTCTCATGTGCATGCGTATTAGGAGAGATGGTTTTTTATGTGCAACTTTGAATACTATACTAATCTCTCAATGTATGAATAAAAGGAAAACAGAAAAAGAAAGCTCTCCTGATGTGTAGGGTATATAATATTCCTCCATGAAGCGCTGAATTGGTTGGTTGGAATAATATTAAGATCCTCCTCTCCTTGTGTACAAATTTGTTGAATGCAGTCTACATCTAGATCGTCTCTCTAATTTGTTGGACTCCGTTGCATTGTCTAATTCAATTATTTCAGAGTTTTTTTCAGATTAATTATAGTTATGTTCGTGAGGCAAATAGACGACACTTAGATTATTAAAACGTATAATAATACATGACATAAAGCTTCATTTGTCATCAAGACTCGACTCACGATCAGATCACGGGCCAAAGCTGCTCACAACTAGAAAGTGTAAATATCTCAAATAAAAAAATAATAAGAAGATAATGTAAGAGCATTCATAATGAGCTCCCTAAATCACCTCCCTAGACAAATTTTAAGGAGGAATTGTAAAATACAACTTCAACCATGCTCTATATCCACCTCCTAAATAGAGAGACCTCTAGGAGCTCTTAAATCTGAGGAGAGAGAAAGGACTCTTAGTGACTCCCTATAATTAATGCTAACTTTTTTTTAAAAATAGAAATGAACCAATAAAAAAAGAGTTATAGCTTTTATGACTCTCTAAACTAGAGAGCACGATTGATGTTTAAATTTTATAAAGAACTCCTAAAATAGTTTTTATATGTTTTTAGTTAAAATTTAACTAAAAAATAGAGAGCATGATTGTGGATGCTCTAAATAAATTTATTAAAAAAATAGACAGGTGGAGGAAAGGAAGAGAGAAGTAAAGGTGTCCTTTTATTTCTATTATTAATGCTAGTGCCTAGTGGGTCGGTAGAAGGGTAAAACCGGCAAATTGACGAGGGTACTCATCATGATGATTGGTTCGTCTCTATTACTTGCTGGAAGTCCATGCCTTCAGGCCATGGGAACATCCAACATAATTGAGTCCCGTGATGATGATCGATGCATGCATGCATGCATGGCTCATGATGGAGATAGAATTTTAAAGCATCTCAACAACGTCGATGCGTTGCGTACCAATGGGATACAAAATGTAATGTCTCCAAAATGTGTGAGTAGCATGAACCACCGGATATACAAAGAGAGGAGAACTAAATATTGCAATACGAGCAACTGCTTCTTGGAGAAATTACCAAACGTGAAATATGTTCGAGATATGATTGGCGGTGGGAAGTTTTTAAAGGAAAAAAAAACGTATTTACATATGCTGTGTATAGTGGCAGTTCAAAAGAAGTTGCTCAAGACGTAGCATTATATATAGGGGAATGTGGATTTCCTACGTAAGTTAATCATTTTTCCTTCTGAAAATCTTTGTTGAAAAACATCATGTTGATTCTTTTTCAGTGGGCCTTGATGAATACACTTCTTTTTGGGACAAGGGAGAGTGAGGTGGGCCAGGAAGAGACCCTTTCCATTCAGATAAAGATTCACATTTTATATTAGATTTATTCTCAAACAGGAATGTGAGCGTGACATGATAGGCTTCATATTCAATTTGCATTATGCATGGCATAACCCGTACGGACTTAAAGCTTCATTTGTCATCAAGACTCGAGTCACAATAACGGGCCAAAGCTGCACTACAAAATAACAAAAAGACAAGTTGAGTCGAGGGAAAGGAAGAGAGCGAAGTAATGCTACTGGGTTGGTAGAAGGGTAAAACAGGCAAACTAGATTTTTATTATAGCTGTCAATACGTTTTTGGATTTTTTTGGAAAAATAAAATAAACCATGTGGTGAAAGGACCTAAACTAGCTTTTAGGTTGGTAAAAGGGTAAAACAGGCAAATTGACGAGAGTGCTCATCATGCTGATTTGGTCGTCTCTATTACTTGTTTGTTGCAAGTCCATGCCTTCTTGCCGTGGAACATCCAATATAATTTAGTCCCACCCAAAATTCCAATAAGTTTTTCTGAAATATAATCTTTATGCAAGAGTAAGGAGTCAAGTATTTTCAGACGAAAATGTAACAAATAATATTTCATGAGTTTCTTAACTTTCCAATGTGGGACTCTTTACCCTCACATTCTCACACCTCCAAGGCAGGGTTTTCATGAGTAAAGTTTGAAATGAGGTTGTCTTTATTTATTATTTAT